CTCTGGGCCTGTCATATTTGATCGACATAAGGGCACGCCAAAAGATCAATATCTCGAGTGGCGATTCACTTACAGGTCTGATTTAACATTTGGCCGCGTGTACCCCTATTGTGCTACAACAGACTAGAAACAACCTCCATCGTGCGGTCACTGACATATGCGGATCAATAGCTAAATGCCTGACAAGACTTTATCCTGTGGTAATGGGTTGTGGGAGGTATAAATACCACACTTAGTAAAAGAAGAAAACTCCTATCATTGCCAACTCTTATGTGGCCTGCCTAGGAGGGCCCCAAATTGCGCATGCGTGTGAGGCCCATGCGCCCGTTACCAAGGTGTGGGCTCGTTTACGTGGTTTGGTTATTTGCATTTGTATTGGCAGGGGGTAATTAACACAAACTTAAGAGGAGGTAGCCTATGGTTGTTTCTATTGGACGCTGGACCCGGTTTCCAGCAGGTGCTGCTAAGCATAACCAGCGCCCCAGGCCCTCAGTCGCAGACCATGATGAAATTATGCTCGTGCCCAGAAACCGGGCTGGTAAAATTACGTGTACCCAGACCAAGTGGCAGGCCTTGGACAGCGGGCCACAAAATTATGCTAATGCCCGCCAAGTGGACCACACTGGCCCAAGATATGAGCACTAAAATGATTTTAGTCATCCGCTAGTAGGGTAGATGAATAATTCGGATAGCCGACCTAAGTCCCGGCTATGCCTTTAGTTTTGCATTGGTATGTCCATATTACTCCATAGTAATTTGTGCACTCAGGAAAAAAATTCTGCTTGTAACTGCAATTTTGCGGTACCAATCTGGGTCCACCTCAGTCCTGGGCATGCAAATAATTTCCTCCAGGCGTTTTCCAGGTATAGATGCAAGTTGGCACTGGGACTGGGTATAGTGGGTATTCCCATCTTTGAGTGGGGTAGAGATGCAATGTTCCGTTATTATTATTATTATTAATCTATTATCACTACTGCTCTTCGTCGTGGCAGGAGTAGTACAATCCGTTAATTAAAAATGGTTTTATCTCGTGAGGATGGACCATACCTGTTTTGAGGGGGGGCTGATAGTCCACCAGTTTAGTTCCTACCAACATGGCACTAGTTTTTTACCCACAACGAAACGAAACAACACTTCACTTCCTAGACAAGTACAATTCCTCAAGACCATCACAACTGGCCCCTACACTCTTGCTCCAATCTGCTCAATGCACATCCATCCCAAAACAACCGATTGGCCAACCGTCCCTGCGTCTTTGTCTCGCTGCCGGCTTGGCAACAAGTTTGAACACCACCAATACCTTGCCGAGGCATTTTTCTCCAGGCGGCCCTGAAACCACCAGTACACAGTCCCAGCCTTGCAGTCCGAAACTTGTCGCCGCAAGAAAACGAGGTCGAAACGTCAAACGCTGGGCCCGCCGTTGATAAATTCGATCGGCGGCCTGATTTTCGTTTCGCACCTCCAGAATTTGCGGTGTGTGACCCGAGGCCCAGGTGCCCATGTACTGGTGCTTTAACGTGCCACAAGTTTCGCGTGTGGTCACTGACAGCGCCAGCCAGAAAGAGGCCCGCAGCGGTTTGTTTTCCTCTGACGTCCAGTGCGTTTCCAGGCTCGGTGAGAGAAGGGTAAAAATGCTGGTGGGGTTTTAGGAAAAAAAAAAATTATTTTACACGCGGTCTACATTACTGTTGTGCTTCGTCCCTTGATGAACGAAAATCTCTGATGTGAGTGGTCTCCATTACTGCTGATTCCTCCCGTAATGAACGAAACATAGGGAGGTTATCACAACTGTATTCAGCCCGGATCTTCTGTCAGATACGCATATGATGAGCCCATGTTGTATGCGGAGTCAGAGAGGGTCTGAGAAATCTGTTCTTCCAAATTATGGTAGCAGCAGCACTTAAACCACCTGTAATCGAGGGTCGACCCTGGCAGTCATGCAAACGTGCATCGCTTTTGCGCCTCATTCAGTGGCACGTGAAATCTACAACGATGATTTTTTCAGGTTTGTTGCTGCAGGAGACGACAGGGAAAATATTTTTATTCAATAATAATGTCGCATGTTTCTCCCTTCCGCAGCGACCTGTGATCTACGGCCTTGATGTTTTTCAGATGCTGTGGTAAACTTCCCCGGCGCCACCAACCTTCGGTGGGCCAAACCTATCCATCGCACCAGGTTAAGCCATGGGTGCTCGTCAGGTAATGAGAGCAAACCGGTCCAAAAAAACAAAAAAAAACAAAAAAAAACGGTACTTGTCTTTATCAAAAATGAGTTTAACAGACCACAGGCAGACCAATACATCCAAAGCTTGGCCGGTTGTTAACCAGGACATCTTCCTTGCTAACTACAGTCACGCAGTTGTTGTTGTTGTTGTTGTTGTTGTTGTTGTTGTTGTTGTTTTTTCTTTTTCTTTTCTTTCCTTTTTTCACTGGTTGAACAATGGTAGCGATGAGTCCAGGACTTGGCACGAGATGCGCACCCATCAAGTCACACAAGCACCTCAATGTAATGGAACAAATTTAGTATTTACCTTTTCGGCAGTTTTTGCCCATCCTGATGGTCTTTCGCTCTTTGCCTGTCGTCCATCGAATCTTCTCACCTGTGGAATGCAGATGCGACGGAGTAGACATAACAACTGAAACGAACTCTTCCCTATCATCTTCTGCCAAACAGTAGGCATGGTAGGTGCATTTGGGCCAATTATCAGGCCAGGTACAACCATAATAACCAGGTCTTTCAACTGCAGGACGACTGCTAGCTGCAAATTACAGCTAGCTGCATCTTGAGGTCTGACATTTGGTTCAAACTTCAAACTATAGACGGTGAGCCGACCTGTCAAATGTTTTACATTTTCCTAAATTTCCTTGCTGTAAGGGTTTTCTTTTTTTTTCCTTGTTGCACCAATTCCCCTCTTTTTTTTTTCTTTACTTTTTTCCATGGCGGGATGATGGATGGCACATTTCATTAAAAAGAAAGGCCTCCTTATCTATCGGTAGCGGTATGCTTGGACGCTGGTTGACCTCATAAAGAAAGCGACCTCTGCGCAGCCCATCTCTGTTCGGCTTCGGCGCTTTCTGTGGTGATCATCGAACGAAAGCCAAAAACCCCTGGCAATGCTTATCTATGCCCTCTTCCTTCTTCCTGAAGAAGGGAGAAGAGAAACAAAACTTCTTTCTTTGCCCCCTTGATTGCTGACACTCCCAATTGATAAGAGATTTCCAAATTTGTCAGATGTCAGTATCTGTCAGAAGGAATAAGATAAATCGAATCCCTACTTGGATACGATTTATCTATAGTTCTCCTGCCCTCCTTTCCCGCCTCTCAGGTCACAAACGCCAACTTTACTGACTGAATCTGGCTGTAATTACCGCAAGATACATCTGGCTAAGTGCTAGTGTGAGTCGACCCTCGTTCTTCCCAACGTTTACTGCCAGAATTCAGAAAAGAGAAAGAAATGAAAGAACATTTTTATGAAACCGCATCTTCCCCTCCTCTCCCCAAACCCCAAAGGAGGAGAACATTACGAAGCCACAGTGTTGTGCCAAACATGTTTTTCCTTTGCTTGATATCAAGAGTGCGCAGCTTATGCTGAGAGCTCCCCCCCCCCCCTTTACTCTGCAATCCTGTGCTCGGTGACCACGAATCTGGCTGAAAAACCGACTCAGGTGCATGGCAAACCACCAGTACTTCAGAGCCTCTTTTTCCCAGGTGCCAATTTCTGCCGGGCGCTAAGTTCTCGCTCAAATAAGCGCGGGTGAGGAAATGAAAAGATTTGCCTAGCCCTGCCGGCAATTTCGTTTCGGTAGGCCGTGCCCTCAGAAACATGGCGTGTGGGGGGGGCTGTGTCAAAACAAAAAGGCTGGGGTAAGCCCCCCCACCTTGTTTCCCTTTCCCTCTTTTGAAGAATTCCCCGAATTTCTACATCGCATTTGAAAGGGCGTGGCCCTCCCAGAGAGGAGGCATACTCACAGTAGGAACAATACCCGTCCGTCGTCCACCTGCAGATGTCGCCATCGATAAATGAATGCATTTTAGTCCACAGGCTGAATCAGTTTAGGGAGCACCACCATGTTCCCCCACTCCCCCAGTAGAAATAGAAAGTACAATCTGAATACAGCCATGATGGCCGGACGTTCTATTCGGGGATAAGGAAGGCGGCAGTCATGTCATGGTGGTCATCAGAAAACCAATTGCATGCAGGAGAAGTGTGAACACTGAGGAGGTTTTAACTCTTTAAGTGCAAATGCCACTTTTCATCCATAAATGGGAAACCGTACTTGTGTGAAATGTACAAATGGATGGGAACTAGGGGCGGGGTAATACTGAAAGTACAATCAACCTGAAAAACCTGAAACTACACACAGGTGCTTGATTTTTATTTTTTTTATTTTTCGGTTGTAATGTGGTGCCCTCCCAAATCCACTACATGCAAGACACCAAGCATGTCGAAGGAAGAAGCGTGATATTGATAAGGAAAGTTAATGAAATTGACAAGGAAAGTTCATCACAATTGCCGGCACTCAGAAAGCAAACGGATGCAGAAGACAGACCCTGCTACCAATTCATTCACTTTCACTTAATGCTATTATTATATATATATTGTCATATATCATGATATATGATATATCTATCAATTAGAAGAGTGCACTTTAGGAAACAAATGACAAAAATACAGAAGACAAACATGACGAGCACACTGAAACCAGTCTTTTGATCATTTCTTCTTTTAGCTCGCCGTTTACTGAGCCTCTAATGTATAATAGAATAAGGACATCACAACAACAACACCCAAAATGATACACGGAGAAAATGGGTCAAACACGGAGCGCTATTGGGGCCTAACCAGGTGGGTTTAGGCAGACCCACTTACAGGGAAGGTAACCGGATACCCCAGTCAACTCACCGACTTTCACTTAAACCACCACTATCTCTGAGCCTCTTTTTGCCAAGCCTCCAAGGCAGAATAGAACTGCGCGCCGAGCTTTGCCGAAGCACCAGCGGGATGGTGTTTCTTTTGTTCTGGCTGGCGCCGCCAGCCATTATGGTCCCCTGGCGCCCGGCCCCTGGAAGAATGCGGTATAGGTTATATTTACGACTTAGCCTTCGCCTCTGAAAGGTAGTGGCGGTTTAATAATGCTATATAATAAGGTCATCACGACAACAACATCCAACCGACATGGTACACGGAGAAAATGGGTCAAACGTGGACCTAACATGGACCTATCGGGCCCAACCGGATAGGTTCAGGGCAGACCCACTTGCACTGGATGATACAGGGATCAGTCACAAGAGAAAACTACAGCCCACACCGACGTGTCAGAATGTAGCAAGGAATTCTAGAGCGTATCTGGATGGAATTCTAGAGCGAATTCGAATGGGATTCTAGAGTGAATCTGGATCAAATTCTGCAACCTGAGATGAGCGATGTGCGAACTTGCATCACCTTCCTGGCACAGCAAGGAGTTGGTCAAAAGTGGCAATTATTGGCAGAAGAGAGATTGGCAGAAGAGAGACTGGAGCTTGACTCTTTTGCTGGCCCAGCAGGAGCCAGGCTCTCTAGCGGATTCGCTGCTCCGGCAGGAGCCATTCACAAGACTATAGATAGTATAGAACAAATGTAGGCACACCATGCTTCGTTCACGATTGAACAGGAATTGCGTTGCCACACATCCGATGCAATCCACCACAGTTATTAGAATACTTTACCTGACGCTTGCATTCGTTCATCATTTGCCGCGCACCCCAAGCGAGCGCCTGCAGGTGTAAATTCGTCCCCTTGGCGCAAGTCGAAAGTCCTTCCTTTCGTGTGTTCCCTTTACAAGTCCTTCGAAGTTGACATGTCCTCTCAACATCATCTACTGAGGCCTGCCGCCCTTGCTAGGTCAAATTCCTTCAGAGCTGACCACCCTTGCACTGAACAGGCTAGCGGACGACGAAGCTGAGCAGGCCAGGGCGTACTCACCCTAGGACCACCATTATGGCTAGATTCCAAGTGTGAGTATGGCCTCAGAACAACCCAGGAGAAGGCAAACCTCAAAGCGATTACCACCACCCCGTCGCCGCTTTCATCGAGTGTTCGACATGATGCACAAGTCTTCAGCCCCAAGCACTACCCATTCCTGAAGACTAATCCAATATCCTGATCCTGTTCCACGGAGCTCATCATCCTCCCTGTACCACCTACACGTTCCAGACTCCATGGGTTGCACTGTGCCAAAGCCAGACAAGCAAGCACCGGAAGAGGAAAGAGCTGGAAGGGTTGCAGGGTTGCAGTGGAGTTAACTTGAGATACCATATAGGTATAGCAATACGCAATTTGCAAACAGTTCTACCTGTACACCTTGGCGAATTGAATTAACGATCAAGCTAGGCGTACCTCGTTGTGGAATGAGCGCAGCACCACTTCTGGACGGTCAAGCGTTGGAGCTCATCAAGCTTGCGTTGGAGGTGGATGCGCAGCTCCAGCGTCTTCATCGCTGAAAGAAGAAGCATGGCAATCACGCTCGGCATACCTTGTCGTAGAACGAATGGAGAACCATTTCTGGACCGACCCTTCCAGGTGTTGGAGTCGAGCTGCGGCGTCTTCATCACTGAAGAAAGATGCATGGCACTCAAGCTAGGTGTACCTTGTTGTAGAACGAGTGCTTCAAGCGTTTCTTCAAGCGTTGGAGCTCATCAAGCTTGCTTTGGAGGTGGACGAGCAGCTCTGGCATATTTTGATGACTGAAAGAAGCAGCATGGCAAGCTCTGCCTGTCAGAGCTGTGATGATCTGCTCACTAGTGGGTGCAGTCATCATCATACACCTACGTACGATGTACTAGGAGAGACGTCGACAGCACGAGGCCCAATCCAGATTGCAAACAGTCTGCTCCCTTGGAACCCATGCTGTGCTCTGGATGATGAGAAGATGTTACGGTAGCTTGCCAATGCATCAGACAGACTAGATAAGATAAGTGTAAGATAACAGAGAGTAAGTTTTGCGCTCGTGGACTTGAAATGGTAAGGGGCTACCTTAGCCTCAAGGGTAACCCGAACACGATACCATGCCCACCATACTTGGTGAAAATTGGCAACCAATTGCAATGGTAGGGACGATGGAAGAGAACAGAGAAAAGAGGAGCCTTGAGTTGATGGTGTCTCTCCTACTTTGCAGTGCATGCCGATGTCGGTCAGGTTCGGCCTACAGACTGAAAGAGCAATGCACTTCAAGTCCGATAGACAGGGCCTCGGACAAGCAGGTCGACATCGGTCAGGTTCGGCCTACAGATTCGTCGACGCAGCGGCAATGACCAACCATGCTCTCCCAGACCTCGCGCCCATCATTACCCGCCTTTGCCAACCTTCAAATTAATAACAGCTTGGCTTGCAACAACACCTGAGAAAACTCCACCACATGTGGCTTCAACACCTCCCAGTGAAGTTTGCTTTCCAGCTCGCCATCATGGGTATGTTTCCTCAAAAAGGAGAGTTGATCTGCCAGCCTTCCTGGCAGAGCTGTACATGGTGGATGGGTAGAGCTGATCTGCCGCCTTCTGGGCTCAATCAGGTGCCACTTTGTGGTTGGTTAATAGTGGTGCCCACGGAGCGATGGCCTGGCTGACATATGGTCGATGGGAAACACCCACCTGCAATGCCCTCCTTGAAGTCCTCGCTGCCTTCAATCACGCTTTCCAGCAAATCTTCCCGGAAGAAGGATAGAAGCAAGATCACACTAATCCTAGCTTGCTCAGGGAATGCTCAGGGAAGGCTCATGGAATATACTCACTTGATCAACCATCTTGAAGTAAGCAGATTCGGTACCTTGGGGAGGAGCCACCCGCCATACACCTCATTCACCCTCAGCTTGGTACTTGCCGAATCGACATCAGCAGCAACTGCACAATCAGAAGCTGTGACAGAACATCCCACATGTTCGTCCAGCTGTTCGTCCTCGTTGTCGCCTAAATAGATTTTGCCAAGTGAAGCAAAGCTTCCATGCTCCAGGGTATGGTGTACACTTCCGAGAAGGGAAAAGTTGGCAGAATATGCTTGCCCTGCGATCATCAGTCGCGCAGAGACACTCATCTGCAAAGGGGGGAAGCGCTGCTGACTCTGCTGAAGACACTCTCCCCAGTTATGTTTCTTCTCGTTCACGACAAACAAGTGTTCGAAAATGCTTCAGGTGAGCACACAGACACTTCTTCCTACTTGAGAGAGCAACCCTGGCAAGCTTCAGGGAAGATATTCCCAGAGACAAATCCCACTGGTAAGTGTGATACACATTCGCTTCTGTCAATCATCGGCTGTGTCAGTGTCTTCATTTGCGGTGGGACCCCTAATCAACCCACTGGCAGCATCCTCTTCGCATCCATCCTCGTCTTCTAGCTCACGCTCTGGCAATGCTCGCCGAGGCCGCTTTCTCGAGCTAGAAGAAGGGTTTGAAAAAAACCCTCGATTGCGAATGAACGTTATGGCATCTAGAGGGTCCAAAGCATTCAAAAGAGCAGAGATAAGGCTACAGATGCCGGATCGCCAATGGGTATGGCCCTGGACGGTCTTCGGATGAGAATTCACTTCGACGATCTGTATTTTGGCCCCCTTGGCGTTCGGGCCAACCTCCTCAAGGATAGATTGCCACTCTTTCCTGATCGAGGAAATATCTCTGTCATCGGCGTTACAAACATCGGTAAGAGCGACAAATACTGGCACCTGCAGGACAAACCAGCGACGGCAAAACAACGACCGTAAAGTCAACAGCAGCCACTGGAGGGAAGGAGATCCATCGGAAAGCCCTAATGCATTCATCAGAGTCGATACAAATTGTCGCTTGGACATCATTGAGTCATTGTCCCACTAAATTAAGATTTTTTTTTTTTTTTTTTTTTTAAATTAAATAGAGACGATGCTCCAAATCTATTCGTGGGGAGCAACACGGCTGGGAACCGGGCCCAGCGTCCCTTACACTGCAGCGAGCGAAGAGTCTCAATGAACTTACAAATAAATAACAATCGCTTGTTGGCTTACCTCAACTTGGACTTAAAAGTAAACCAACGAGCTAAAAGTCAACGTAACTCAGCTTGCTTCTGTTTCTCTTTATTTCATCGGAGTTTCACCAACTCATCAGGAGGCTGAACCCTCAACAGTCTGCACAATCCCCTAACTGATTATACTGTAAGTGATAATCCACCTTAACCCCGGCTGTGGTTCAGCATCAACGACTGCCCGACAACTGATACCCTGAGGTGGGCACCAACCACTACCCTCAAGGTACCTGTGACAAAAATCAAAGCAGACTGTCACTCACCCACACCAGATGGAAAACTCTACGTACTGTGGCTTCACAACCCACCACAAGCCAGCAAAACACCCACGAAACAAAGAAAGGTCTGTCACAGCCAAAAAATACACTCCATATGGTGCTAGCGAAGTCGTGGTATATATAGTCAAACAGAGCTGCCCGGTAAACCGTAGGCAGAGAGGGAGAAGAGGACAATATATACATATATATAGTCAAACAGAGCTTTCAGGTAAATATATATCGTCAAACAGAGCTGCCCAGTAAACTGTAGGCAGAGAGGGAGAAGAGGACAACAAACGAGGGCCTCTGACAAACTGTTTCGTTGGAGTTTCACCAACTCATCATATATATTGTCACATAACTATGAACTAAAAGAGCGCACTTTGCAAAACAAACGGCAGAAACAAAAAAAACAAAAAACAAGACAAACATGAAGGGACACCATTTCATCTCCCCCTGCATCCCCCGACGGTCGGCGGCCCTTGACTGGTCGGCACCTGCCGGTCGGGGGTCGTCGGCACCCCGCACAAAAAAAGGGAAAAAAAAAGGCCCTGATTCCAGGACCCCTAATAACCCCACCAACACAACTGTGATGTGTGAAAACGCATGAGAGAGAGAGAGAGAGAGAGAGAGAGAGAGAGAGAGAGAGAGAGAGAGAGAGAGAGAGAGAGAGAGAGAGAGAGAGAG